TTTATTATTATTATTTTTACTTTTGGTCGCTAATTGTTTTTTGTTCTTTTTGGTAGGAGTTTTTTGTGTGTTGGAAGGTGTGTGGGGTGGTGGTTGATGTTGTTGTTGGTGGTGGTATTGGTGAAGTTACAGAATCTCTTGACGATGAAGAAGGTGTGGGTGAGGGTGCCCCTCTAGGACTAGAATTTGCTGAATTGGGTGATTGTGCTAGAGAAAACTTCACCCGATTTTAAAGCATTCTTAAATCTTGTTTGGGAGTTTGATATTTAAGATTTATTTTAATAGTAGTGGGTGTGGTGGTCTCACAAACCATTACAGAATTCTCTGCACTCTCTATACTAGAGGCAGGATTCTCACCCCCTTTGGTACAAGATTGAGAATTCTCTTCATTGACCGCAAATAGGGTTTGTAAACCCAAAGAATGACTTTCACTAAATGTGCAATGATCATTTTGTTTGATTTATTTTGGATTTCTTATGATGTTTATGTTTATGTTTTTCCATTGAAATTTTCATCATTTTTATGGGAATTTTTCTTATCTTTCGATTTTTTTTCTTTTTTAGATTTTTTAGACTTTTCCGTTTTTTCCGGTTTTTGTTGTTAAAGGCAACTTTAGGATGTAATAAGCAAGTTAATAACAATTTTAGCAATTAAACAACCAACAAAGTACAAAGTAGAAAGGGGAAAAGTCAAAAAGGGAAAGCAGGTTGTTTTAAGGGAAAAGAAAAGGGGGGAAGAAGGTAAAGGAAAATTTGTATTTGAATTTATTTATTGTTTGTTTACCAATCACCAATGTTTAATTAGTTATTCAAAAAAAGTGTAATGATTTTTTGTCAAATGATGATGTTTAAAACAAAATGTTTAAAAAAAGTGATAAAATGTAAAATGTGTGAGTTTTAAATGGTTTGGTTGGTTGTGGCATGGTTGTGGCATGGTTGTGTGTTATTATGAAATGTTTTATATTAATTTGTTTTTTGTTTTTTTTTTTAATTTAAAGTGTTTAACAAACATTCACCATATTAAAACAGTTTATTTATTTTTTTAAATGCAAAATTAGAAAGTTAAAAAGAAATCAAAAAGAACATATAAAAAAAGCACACAAAAAAAATGAAATAATTTTTATTTAAAAAAAAATAAAAGGATTTAAGATGCAATAAGTAAGTAGAAGTTAACAATTAAATTTTATATAAGAAGAAGAAGAAGAACATTAAATGATTAACGCAAAAAAAGTTTTTCAGGATTTTGATTTAAAGCGACATTTATATATTTTTAATATAAATTTAATAAAAGTGCGTAGTAAATTGGACAACAACAAATATTTTTATTTTTTATTTTGAAAAAAGAAAAAAATCGAAAAAAGTTTAAGAAAAATTAGATGATTTTTTTTTGTTTAAAATATTTTTTTTTTAAATTAATTTGTTTTCTAAACTAAAAACAAACAAATGGTAGAAATGGAATAACAACTAATTTTTGTTTATAAATTATAAGCAAAAAAGGGCTAAATAAAAATACAATAAAATGGTATAAACAAAATGCAAACTAAATTTAAATATTTTTTGTTTTTTTTGCAACAAAGTTAAATATTTTATTACTACAAATACTTTTTAAAGTGAGACCTTCTTTTATAAAAAAAACACAAAGTTCAAGAGATTCTGTTTTATTTAATATCTTTTGAATTTTTTATAATTTAATTTTTCGACCAATTTCAGGCATATTCTGAATCCTTATATGTAAATAGCAAAGTTGATTTAGTGATGATGTCCTTCTGTCTGCATGGTGAGATCAATTTTCCAAAGGCTTTAGTTATCTTAGGGATCCTAATCTTGAATAAAACTGTCAGACTTTCTTTTAAGAAGTTTTCTATAGTCTAGTCTATAGTCTAGTTTATAGTCTAGTTTATAGTCTAGTCTATAGTCTAGTTTACAGTCTAGTTTATAGTCTAGTCTATAGTCTAGTCTATAGTCTAGTCTATAGTCTAGTCTATAGTCTAGTCTATAGTCTAGTCTATAGTCTAGTCTATAGTCTAGTCTATAGTCTAGTCTATAGTCTAGTCTATAGTCTAGTCTATAGTCTAGTCTATAGTCTAGTCTAGTCTATAGTCTAGTCTAGTCTATAGTCTAGTCTAGTCTATTCTAGTCTATAGTCTAGTCTATAATCTAGTCTATAGTCTAGTCTATAATCTAGTCTATAGTCTAGTCTATAATCTAGTCTATAGTCTAAAGTCTAGTCTAAAGTCTAGTCTATAGTCTAGTCTATAGTCTAGTCTATAGTCTAGTCTATAGTCTAGTCTATAGTCTAGTCTATAGTCTAGTCTATAGTCTAGTCTATAGTCTAGTCTATAGTCTATAGTCTAGTCTATAGTCTAGTCTATAGTCTAGTCTATAGTCTAGTCTATAGTCTAGTCTATAGTCTAGTCTATAGTCTAGTCTATAGTCTAGTCTATAGTCTAGTCTATAGTCTAGTCTATAGTCTAGTCTATAGTCTAGTCTATAGTCTAGTCTATAGTCTAGTCTATAGTCTAGTCTATAGTCTAGTCTATAGTCTAGTCTATAGTCCTAGTCTATAGTCTAGTCTATAGTCTAGTCTATAGTCTAGTCTATAGTCTAGTCCTATAGTCTAGTCTATAGTCTAGTCTATAGTCTAGTCTATAGTCTAGTCTATAGTCTAGTCTATAGGTCTAGTCTATAGTCTAGTCTATAGTCTAGTCTATAGTCTAGTCTATAGTCTAGTCTATAGTCTAGGTCTATAGTCTAGTCTATAGTCTAGTCTATAGTCTAGTCTATAGTCTAGTCTATAGTCTAGTCTATAGTCTAGTCTATAGTCTAGTCTATAGTCTAGTCTATAGTCTAGTCTCTAGTCTAGTCTATAGTCTAGTCTATAGTCTAGTCTATAGTCTAGTCTATAGTCTAGTCTATAGTCTAGTCTATAGTCTAGTCTATAGTCTAGTCTATAGTCTAGTCTATAGTCTAGTCTATAGTCTAGTCTATAGTCTAGTCTATAGACTAGTCTATAGTCTAGTCTATAGTCTAGTCTATAGTCTAGTCTATAGTCTAGTCTATAGTCTAGTCTATAGTCTAGTCTATAGTCTAGTCTATAGTCTAGTCTATAGTCTAGTCTATAGTCTAGTCTATAGTCTAGTCTATAGTCTAGTCTATAGTCTAGTCTATAGTCTAGTCTATAGTCTAGTCTATAGTCTAGTCTATAGTCTAGTCTATAGTCTAGTCTATAGTCTAGTCTATAGTCTAGTCTATAGTCTAGTCTATAGTCTAGTCTATAGTCTAGTCTATAGTCTAGTCTATAGTCTAGTCTATAGTCTAGTCTATAGTCTAGTCTATAGTCTAGTCTAGTCTAGTCTATAGTCTAGTCTATAGTCTAGTCTATAGTCTAGTCTATAGTCTAGTCTATAGTCTAGTCTATAGTCTCGTCTATAGTCTTGTCTATAGTCTAGTTTATAGTATAGTCTATAGTCTAGTGTAGTTTACAACCTAGTCTAGTCTATAGTCTAGTTTTTAGTCCAGTCTATAGTCTAGTCTATAATCCAGTCTAGGCTTAAGTTTAGTCTATAGTCCAGTCTATAGTCAGATCTATAGTCTAGTCTATAATCTAGTCTATAGTCTATTCTATAATCTATAGTCTAGTCTATAGTCTATTCTAAAGTCTAGTCTATAGTCTAGTCTTTAGTCTAGTGTACAGTTTCATCTTCACTCTAATCTGTAGTCTAGCCAGCCAGAGGACAATTAGGACGTTAAAGCCACCAAGAATAATCGGTAACAAAGGTCGAAGGTACTGGCTATAAAGGAAACTAGATAAAGTTAACTTAATGAATGCAAAATAAGGAAAATTTACTCTTTGCAAAGTAATTCACAAAATCGTTAAGATATACATACATATGAATAAATACGCAGCGACAATGTCTACTTTTCTAGACTGAGAATCTCTCTATCACATCAGGGTCAGAGTTTGAAAAGTTGTTGGCAATATTGAGACGTTATAAGAGGTCAAAGACAACTCAAAAAGTATTTTATGGGAAACATTTTGATGTTTTGCTATGATTCTGACACTTTCGCAAAGAATACATTATTGATCTCTTGGTTAAAAATTGTGCGGCCTGTGATATTTATCGATTTAAAGCCCTAATTTTAAAGCATTATTTGCTAACAATGCAACAACAAAAATACTAAATATTTCTCAAAATCCAAATTGAAAAATAAGAAATTAACATACAAAGTTAACTGAGAAAGGCAATGAAGAAACCAACATGCAAAAATTTAAATAATAAAACTTCATATTTAATAAAAAAAAATACTATCATTATAATATATCTATAACTATATGTTAGTTTGGTTAATAAAGTGTTAGAATCAAAAGAAAACTAAATAAAGAAAACCAAACACAAAACACAGAAAAACTTAAAAAAAATATTAAAAGTGGAGGAAGGTGGTGTATTGTAGAGATAGATAGTAGTAAAATAAAATGAAGTCTCGTTTTGTTGAAAACATAAATGAAATAAAATGTGTGCTTGTGTAGTGTTAATTATTGCCTGATTAATAATAAAATTTAAGTAGTTTTATGTTTTTTTAATTTAAGTATAGAAAAACTATAGTGTTTAAATATTAAAGAAACAAAAACTTACGGCTTTCATAATGCTTTTATCCCAGGCAACACAAGATTCCAAAACGTATAGAGCCATTGCCAGCTGGGCGGTGGTATGAGAACGTGAAACAGCATCACGCCAAGACACCAAACCTTTGGGTATATTTTCCACTTTTTCATCTTTATCACTATCACAATTACTGGAGGGAGAATCGCCTCCGGAATTATTTTCGTTGTTGGCCGAGGAGTGCGTTTGTGAATTAAGTTCGCCGCCGGCACTACTGCTGTTGGCATTTGAATTGCTGCTGGCTGCATTATTGGCATTATTAGCTGCTATGGCCATGGCTCGTTCATTAAAAGCCGATGGATTAAAGGCTTGTTGTTGCTGTTGCTGCAGCAAAGCTTGTTGTTGTTGCTGCTGTTGCATTTGTTGGTAATAGGCAGCCGCATTGGCGGAATTTTGTGTTTGAGTATTTTGTTGATTTTGAGCAATGGCCGCTAAATGGGCATCACCCGTTTGAGCACCCAAGGGTGGTTTCAAATATCTCCTTTCTATATTGGCTTCCAAGTCTATAATACGTTCTCTAATCATGGGTATAATACTAACAAAGTCTTCTTCGGTAATATCAGCATCACTTTCTAGATTAAGTTCGGATTCTATTCTGGGTGGCAATTGCCAGTGTTTCAATTGCATAGAGGCCGAAGCGATTTTGTCTTCTAATACTTCTAGCTGCTCCAATAAAGCCATTTCTACTCGTTTAGCTATTTTGGGAGTCCAATCATTGGGTTTATCCGGCAATAGATAATCTTTATCATCCGGTCTTACTTCACCCATGGGATAGGGTAGACCCAAAGGTATTTCCTGGGTCAAAAAACGTGTTAGGTTTTCCTTAAGTTCTTTTTCTCTTAAACCCGTGGAATTGAGAGAATTTATAACCTGCTGTAGCAATTCCATGGTATCGATTTTCCACCAACCATAGCGCAAGTTACGTTTTACATAAGATCCCTTTTGTTTCTTAGGAAACCCCTCTCTCTTGATTTCCTCCAACATTTGAGATTCTTCCAGAGACATTTGCAAAGGAGTGGGTATATCGTATTGTATAAAATTGCTTATATTAGCCAAAGACATTTGCTGCATATTCTGCAGGGATGTTTGTAAAGCCTCATCCAATTTTATTTCCAATTTGGGCTTAATGTCTTCGGCAAATTCCGCCTCCACCCCTGCTCCTACAACACCTCCGCCAGTGTCGCAGAGTGAGTCCTTAGGAAAAGGAAAAAATTTCATTTTGCTTTCGTTTTTTAACACAAATTTCTTTTCAACGCCACCACGCAACTCCCCCTCCTCGTCATCGCATTCCATATTGTTATTGTCTTTACCTTCTACATCTGCTACATCTTCACTTTTCATCGTTGCTGCAGAATGATGACGAGGAGTCTCCAAGGAGTTTTTTGAATTTTGTAATTTTTCCTCAAATTCCTTAAGTTTCTTTTCGATGTCGGCCTCATTAAGCCCGGACAAGGATAGTATACATTCCGTGGTTAATTTCGTTAGATCAGCCTTACAATCATCCATGGTAACGGTGAAATACTGCACATTATTCGAGATATCCCAGGGATGGCCCTGGATTTGATAGCTAGAGCCACAGGTGATATTGGCAAACATCTTTTGGAATTCCTTTAGATTGGTGGCATTCTGAGGTTCTGTGGTTGTCAATGGCACTTCACGATTAACAATGGAAAACCACTTGACTTCGGGTATTTCGCTAGTGAATAGAGGTTTAACATCCGAGGGTCCTGTAGAGGAGACAATTATACAATCGTCTTCTTTTTTGTCCTCAAACTTAGTGGCGCCACTATTGCTGGTGCAAAGATTTATGCTAGAGTTGCCGTTATTGTTGTTGGTGGTGGTGATGGATGTGGTGGGATTAGACATCATGGAAGTTGTAGTGTTAGCCATAGAAGTAGCAGAAGAATTCATTTTATTCAAATCTGGTTTATCACAGTTTATAGTTATTGAATTCTGCAGCTGATTAAGATTCGTCATGTGTGGAGTTGTGGTTAGCTGATGGAGAGCAGAGGAAGAGGAGGGCGGTGGTGGTAGTGGTACTTTCATGTCTACTTCCATTTCTTCCTTTTTAGGCAGCTGATTTATAATGTGTGCCGGTGGCAAGAGGCCAGCAGCATCGGGTTTCTCCACTTTGGCGGTACCATTGTTATCCAATTGTATGCCATGCGGTTGTATGGCCACATCATAATCATCATCATCGTCATCACGCAAATCGACTATTTCGGGTTCTATGCGATTAGTTTCGATGACATCATCGTCGGAGTCATCAGCTGGATTGTTATCAATAACATTTTCCACTGTTGGCGGTGCTGGTGGTTGGTTGGCGTTAACAGCCGTTAATGCCTCCAATTCTCTCATTTCTACATCCAAACTATCTTCGGGTTTGTCATTACAATTCTTAGTGACATCTTGTGCCAAAGGTTCTGGACTCATGTTTTCTTTACGCTCCTCATCTTCTTGCTCTAAAATTTCTTGGAAACGGAATATATCATTTTGAGCCGATTCTAAAGCTTCTATAAATATACCGCCTGCCTTGGGCAGACGCCAGTAACGACGCCAAAAACGATCTTGACCGAAACATGTGGCTCTTAGTTGATTTGTGCTCTTCTCCAACACTTCTTTACAGTTCAAGGAGGCTCTAATGATTTTATCCAACTTCTTTTGTAATTCATCAGCCGATAGTCTATTATCTTCATCCTCTTCTACATTGGTAATTTCCGACTCTATATCAGAAAGATCTTCATCCATGCCCACATCGGTGGAGGCATCATCATTGAGACCCTTTATGGTTTTCTTGCCACCCAATAAAGCATTAATATCACCCGTAGAGGCTCCACCATTATGATACGAAGTAGAAGTTAATTCATCCAATTTGGCCATTTTAGTGGGTGTTATATCACTTGAGCCCATTAAGTTAGCGGCCGACAATTTTCCTTCATCCAAATTGCTAGGCAGGTTGGTTAATTCTTTATCGTTTTGTTTTTGCGAACCATCTAAATCCACTTCCATGGTTTCATCCTTACTAGTGTTATTATTTTGTTCGCCTGCTGTTTCAAGTGCGGAGGTGGCTGCCGCTCCCATATTATCTTCCGAGTTAGCTCCCTCCTTTTTATTGGCTTCATCGACTGATTCCTTTTCTAAACGTTCAGCATCTAATTTCTGTTGTTGTGCCATCGCCTGCATGGCTGCTTCACGTTCAGCTTGTATCTTCTCATAAGCCTCAATTCTCGATTTGCGCATGTGTAGAGCCTTATATTTCCTCACTTTCATATCGGTCATATACTTTTCTTTGCGCATTTGATTGCAGGTCTCTAGACTATTATCGATTTGTTTGAGTACCGCCTTATTCATGAGCAAATCATTGCAGAGATGTGCTAATATTTGTGTTTTCTTTGTAGGATTCAGAGCCACAAATGGTCGATCCTTTAGAGCCAAAGACATTTTCCACGTTTCATTCTCATGCAATAGCTTATAGTATTCAGCGTTTTTGCCAGTATGCACTATAGTTTCCGCATCGATTTGATGATGATCCGGTACTTTACGTTCACGTTCACGATCCATAACAACGCCAAACATTTGTCGTATCTCCCCGGTTGCAGTGGCATACAAATAGATGCGTAATATTTCCGATACATTGGAATTTGTAATGTCGGCATTACGTAGAGATTGTCCCAGTAGGGTGGTATGACGTCCCGGATTTGGTATGCCCGGATCTTCTATGGCACATACCAGTAGATGTGTCATCACAGATAAGAGTTCTTCTTCGACTTCAGCATTACTATCGACTACTAAAGCATCGTGGAGATTCTGCAGGGTGGGTAGAGATTCCATGTCTGTGAGGGAAAAGAAAGGAAAAGAAAATGAACATTAAATTGTTGAAATTATATGGAAAATACGCTTTTAAATTCTTTTTGTTTTAACTGCAACTTACCAAAACCTAATGTTTCACCAAAGTTATGTAAGAATTCAAAGACCATTAATAGATCAGCCATAGCTTGACCAGGCAAACGATTGCCAGCAATACGCTCTAAATCGGGTATAGCATGTAATTGCAATAATTCCGAATCCTCTTGAGGTTTTCTGTAGAATAAACAAGAACAAAAAAAACATTTTATTAAGAATTCCAAATAAATTTAAAACCAAAATCCATTTTAAATTCCACTAAAATTCTTAAATATTTCTAACAGCACCTCACCTTATTTGTGCTAAAATTTCAGCATCTCGTTTACGAGCTGCCAAACGTTTTTCTCTTAAAATCAAACGATCCAAGACCATTTGATGTTTCTTCTTTTCACGTTCCTCAAATTTGCGACGCAATTCCAATTGACGTATTAAAGCCATATGCTGGCGTCTACGTTCTCTTTCCATTTCTGCGGCCAATAACATTTCCTTTTGACGATTAAGTTCCTAAATAAAATTGTATATATATAATTTAGCCGATTAATAAAAGCGAAACAAAATAAAGTAGTTTAAGCTTATTGCTGTTTAAAAGTCTACTATAACTTTGTCTTTTATTTACAAACTACTACATCTCTGGTAATCTAAAGATTTTAAAAAATTTTAACATTTTTGTATACCTGTTCTTTAGCTAAAATAGCTTCCTGACGTTTCTTTTCCTTTTCCTAAATTAAACAATTTGTAATAATAGAAAAACAAATATTAACAAATAGTTTACGTTAAGTGTTTTTTAGCAACAGTATAGATTTTTAAAACAAAGAAATTAAAACAATTTTCAAAAGGCAAAAGACAACAAATTAAACAAAAAAAACAAAGATTGTAAGGAAATACTAGAATTGGATTTGTTTGTGTATATCGTTAAACATACCTGCTGCTTCTTGAGTATTTCCTCCTGTTTAAGACGCTCTAGTTCTTCTTGTTTCTTTTTGCGGGCCTAAAATGTGTCAAATTTTAATAAAACAACAACAAAATTTGAGTTTTTTCCTAGAATACCTCTATGGCTTGTTGATTTTTCAATTCTTTTTCTTTGCGCTGCTGTTCCAACTTTTCATTTTTCTCTAAGCGTGCCTTTTCCTTGTTGCGTGCCATTTCCTCTTTTTGTAATTTCTTGGCATCTCTTAAGGCCTGCTGTTGTTTGGCAATTTCTATGCGTTGTTCTACATTTAGGGTTTGTCGTGTAAAGATTTTTAAATCTTCCAAACGTTTGGCTACATCCTCATCAGACATGCGTATGTAATCACCATCATTGGCATAGGGTGGTGGTGCCGGTTGTAAGAAAGAGCCCACTATGGCTCGAGCTGAGAAACTAAAGTTTTCTCGTGTCAATTTCGAAGGATTCTTCTCTAAATGCTAAAGAATTTTATATAAAAAAAAAAACATTATTTTACGTTAAATTTATTTAAAAGTTAAATTTTAATTATATACAGCTGTTTGTTGTTAGTCTACTAAAAATTGATCTACAAACTCACAGAGAAAACATGCCCCATAGTTTTAAGGGGTACATTACTGCCGGGTGCATAGTAAACAACTTCTCCTTTGATTTGTCCCGCCTTGGTAAGACCTCTAATTACTGTTTCACGTTTCCAGCCTAAGTCTAAGGGTATTCGCAGTTCGGTTACATTTAAAAGATTAGGCTCCTCACTTTCCGATTCTGATAAGCCGCTTTCAGCAGCAATACTTTCTGAGTCGGTGGAAACCTCCATTTGAGCATTAGCTTCTGTTAAGGCTTGACGTATTTTTTCCTAGAATCATATTTATAGTTAAATATTATTAACTTCCTCTTTCTAAAAGAGAGAAAGCCACAAAATACTTACTATATCAGCGCCTTGTTGCAATAATTGTTGAGTGGATAGCATGGGTTTGATACCCACTGCCCTTGATTGAGCGAGTAGCGAGGCCACCGTATTCTTTTTGGGTTTCGAGACACCACGACCCAAATTTCTAGGACGTCCCTCTTTGAATGGTGGCTGATTGGTGCGTTCATTACCCATACCACAACCACCACCACCACCACCACTGGCTGAAGAGGAATTGCTACTACTATTACCTCCAGTATTGGAACTATTTGCTGCTGCTCCACCATTACCACCACCGACACCACTACCGCTCATACCGATACCGCCACCACCGCTACTCCCTAGAGCTGCGGTTATGGAACTTAAACTTTGTAAACTATTTGAACCCGTATTGCCAGAGTTATTACCACCAGAACCGCCACTGCCACTGCTACCCGATAAATCATTACTAGACGCTGATGATTTATCTGGTTTCATGGATAAATTAAGCGGAGCATCAAAATCTTCTATAGTAATGGTAGCTCCGGCAACATTCGTATTGGCGAGCGATGTATTCGATACTGAAGAAGCAGCCGGTTTTAAACTAAGATTAACGCCCGAGTTAAGATCAGTTGTACCGCTTAAATCGTGTATATCTTTATTTTTATTCGATAAATTATACGCTCCATTCGAGGTAATAGTAGGTGGCAATTTAATGACCTCCACTCGATCCGACGACGAGTCTCGGCTCGTTCGACCACTGCTCGGTCCGGTCAAGTCCAAGTGTGGCGTACTCTGTGACGATGAGGCAGCCGAGGCGCCCGAAGATTTTGATGTGCTACTCGCTCCTCCACCCAGGCCACTCAGTGCAGCTATCTGGGCTGCCGTCAGTGTGGGAGGTAGACTGGGTCCGGGGCCAGCATTGGCTGCGGCAGCTATGGCAGCATACTCCATTTCGAGTCTAGCCCTTTTCGCCGGGCTAAGACCTGAAAATGCAATGCAAAATGTTTTTGAATCTGATACATTTGTTTTGTTTTGTTGTAGTTGTAGTGTTTGATCATGATCAGAAATGGTCTTTTTACGACCACGTGTAGTAGTACCGGGTATTTTGGGGCCCACGATGGATGATGTGTATTTGATGATTTCCGTATCGGGTGGCAAGCGTACTCCCAACAGCGATGGATGGTCACTGTAATCATTAAGAGGTAATAATAAAAATCTGCAAACATGTTTAATAAAAAGTTAAAACTTACCCTAATCCTCCGGAGGGCATAAAATCATTAACTGATTGCTTATTACCAGCCGTGGAAGAGGATGTGCTGGACGATGAGCTAACTCCCGCATTATTACCAGCATTGTTGGCTGCTGCTGCTGCAGCAGAAGCGTTACTGGCCGCAAAAGCATTCATGGCGGCTTGCATACTCTGTTGCGGTGTCATGCCTAAAGTGCCAAATTGTGACAATGAATTCAAAGCATTCAAGGAGGCATTATTTTTATCATCATTCTTATTACGCGATGAAGATGATGAGCCACTCATACCACCACCACCAGCTCCACCCCCGCCACTTCCGCTTAAAGAACCATGTGTTGACATAAGACCTCCAGCTGAAGAGTTATTATTTCCCGAAGATGAACCCATTAAATGATGGGAAGAGGAAGAATTGTTAGAAGAAGAATTCCTTGATTTCTTCGATGATGATGATGAGGATGAAGAAGAGGGATTGGCAGCAGCAGCGGCAGCAGCCACTTGCATAGCCAATAGTTCTTTGTGCAAGACAACCGGATCATAAGCTGAACCCGGCGAAGGAGGCAATTGTACAGAGATTGTAGAAGACGTTGATGAGCCTGAGTTTTTACCCAGATTTGAGGAATTATTCTGGTAAAAGGGAAAGAAAAACAAATGGTTAAAGAAATATACAAACTTTAGTCCTAAAAGAACTTACTTTGTAAGAGTTGGAGCTGCTGTTGTTGTTATTATTATTGCCACTATTGGAGGAGCTGCCCAAACCTGTTGATGGTGTTATGGTAGTGCCCGCTCCCACCAAATGCATGCCTGCTAAAGCGGCCGCCGGATTAGAGGCCACCGCTGCTGCGGCAGCTGCCGCATTTAAACTATTGGCCAAGGATTGTTGCTGCTGTTGTTGCAATTGCTGTTGCTGCTGCTGTTGTTGTTGTTGCTGTTGACGTTGCTTTTCTTTACGAGACTTACTGCTCGATTTACTGCCCGATGATGATGTACTACCAATATTGGAGCTTGAATTACCACTTGTACTGGAATTTTGTGTTCCAGAACCAGTAGAGCCGCCAACACCACCACTGTTACCAGCTCCAGCACCAGCAGTACCTAAACCTAAAGCAGCCGGCCCAAAAGCTGCAGCCAAGTCAGGATGGGGAAATGGTGATAAACCAGAGGCTTGTAAGCGACTAAAATAGTCTTGGGCAGCTAATTGAGCCATTGACCACCAACCTAAGGGATAGAGAGAGAATTTTTTAATGAAATTAAAAGTTTGTTACAAAAAATTTTGAATTCTCAAAACAACAATTTTCAAAATTTTGTATTAAAACCATGTAAAAATATCCCCGCAGTTCAGGAATAGCGAACGAGAAGTTTATTTTGAAAAAAAATTATGAAAAATCCTAAAAAAATTTAAAAACTGAAGAGATTTTTATATAATTGTTAAAGCGCGTCTGGAGGACAAGCGTTTTTCAGAAAAAAAATTAAAATCCTTTTACTTGTTTCCGAATTTGAGGTTAAAAGTTAAAAGAAAATTTGTTTTATAAACTTCAATGTCCCGTTTAGAACCAATGGAATATCATTGATTCGATTATTTAGTGAAACATTAAAGTTTTAATTTTAATCTAGGAGCGTTTTCTTCAAACAACATTTTTGGCAAATCAAATGTGTTTGCTGTTTCACTCCACAAAATTTTTTGCGATTTGCTCAGGATTTGAACCCGGGGCCCTACGCGATTAGCAATTAGCATTGAAATTTAAAAAGTGTTTTAGACCGTTAAGCTAAAGACTCGATCGAACAAGTTGCAACTTAATAAACAACTTGAAACAATTTCCTCGTTATACTTTACACATTAACTCACTTGCTGGATGTAAACCGGCCAAACTGGCAGCTTGAGAAGCGGCCACCGCCATGGTATTTTGATGATGATGACCAGCAGCGGCCGCTGCAGCTGCTGCCGCCATGGAATAACGATCATTAGCAGCAGAAGCAGTGGGATTGGGCAGTAAACCCAAGCCGGCAGCGGCTGCAGCATTAAATTGTGCGTTAAATAAAGGATTAGCAGCTGCTGCGGCAGCAGCGGTTGGATCACGGCCCCAATAAGCTAAAACAAATTAAAATTAAAACCATTAATAAAAAAGGTATCACTTTAAATCATTTAAATCATCACTTACCAAAAAGAGAAGCCGCATCTAATAAAGCAGCAGGATCATGTGCAACACCACCTGCCCCACCAGCACCAGTATTGCCGGAAGATTTACCTCCACCGCCGCCGCCTCCCTTACCATCATTTTGTTGTCCACCCTCACCCGCATTTTTATCCATGTTCTTCATGAATGTATGGGGGTCAAAGGGTCTATTGTTACGTTTAATTTTGAAGTTTTTATTTTAAACGGAATATTTTTCAAATAATTCGTTGTCTCTCACAAATGCTGTCTAATTGTTGCTGCTGTTGTTTGTGTGGTTGTTGTTGTTTTATTATTAAACTATATTTAATAATTTTATTCATTTCATCAGTTCATTACACGGTCCTGTTCACATTATTATGTTGTTTTTTGCTAAAAACAAAAAAGAAGAATAAAGATAAAATGAAATTCACACAAAACAAAAGCAAAAAAAATAAGTAATAACAAACATGTTGTAAACAAACAAGTTTAATACAAACATGTCTGTACATATGTACTTCATACAAATATCAGTTTTGTTTTAACTCAATTGCAACTCCAACATCAATAAAATAAATACACAATATAAGAGAATTATAAAAAAAAGAGAGAGCTTTAAATTTTAAATCTCTTTTAGTACAAGTGTGGGAAAAAATTTGTTTTGTTTTTTTTTCTTCTTTTTTAGTTTCTTTGTTTTTACACGCCAAATATACAGAGGAAACGAATAGAATGTGAAATAAAATAGCCAAAAACAATTATTAGTAAAAGATAAATGTAATAGAGAGGAACAAAACAAAATGGAAATGTCAAAACATAATAAATACACACAATACTAGTGAGTACAATTCTAAGAAAAAACGTTTTTGGCCGACACTAAAGCATAGGTCATAAGAAAAAACAATTTTTAGACCGTATTAAGTTTAACAAAGCAAAAATAAGAAAAAATTGTTCAATTTAATTACCTAAAAAATGTTTTGTTTTATGGTTTTAATTTAATTTTTCATCAAATTTTTAATTTATTTTCATATTACACTCACTATTGTCTTCTTCTTTTATAGGAAACACACCATCCATTGTTTTGATAGCAAATACCTAGTGAATGACATTCTATTATTGTGTATGGTAACACTTAAAAGATTGACCAATTACTTAAAAACTGCAAAGAATATTAACATTAGATTGAATTTATTTTTAGATTAACTAATCTTCAACTTAAAAATCGAACATTGAACTGTGATAAATTCCACTATATAGAATCTTTTATACACTACAAGTTATTTTCCTAGACTTATTAAATGTTTACTTCTAATTCCGAAACTGTATAACACCCATAACACCCCTTCCAACAAAATTACGCCTTGACGTACATATATTGTTTGACCTTAGATCGTCCCAATATAAGAATATAAATAGGGACCTCAAAATTATTATTTTATTTCACTTGATAAGAATATTCTTTCCACTTTCATACATTTTCATGCAAATTTCACACGATTTTCTTTATGACTTTTTTTAGCACTGTTTTACATTTCGACTTCTTCTTTCTAATTGGACTACTTTACTAACTAACTAACTAACTAACTAACTAACTAACTAACTAACTAACTAACTACTACTAACTAACTAACTAACTAACTAACTAACTAACTAACTAACTAACTAACTAACTAACTAACTAACTAACTAACTAACTAACTAACTAACTAACTAACTACTAACTAACTAACTAACTAACTAACTAACTAACTAACTAACTAACTAACTAACTAACTAACTAACTAACTAACTAACTAACTAACTAACTAACTAACTAACTAACTAACTAACTAACTAACTAACTAACTAACTAACTAACTAACTAACTAACTAACTAACTAACTAACTAACTACTAACTAACTAACTAACTAACTAACTAACTAACTAACTAACTAACTAACTAACTACTAACTAACTAACTAACTAACTAACTAACTAACTAACTAACTAACTAACTAACTAACTAACTAACTAACTAACTAACTACTAACTAACTACTAACTAACTAACTAACTAACTAACTAACTAACTAACTAACTAACTAACTAACTAACTAACTAACTAACTAACTAACTAACTAACTAACTAACTAACTAACTAACTAACTAACTAACTAACTAACTAACTAACTAACTAACTAACTAACTAACTAACTAACTAACTAACTAACTAACTAACTAACTAACTAACTAACTAACTAACTACTAACTAACTAACTAACTAACTAACTAACTAACTAACTAACTAACTAACTAACTAACTAACTAACTAACTAACTAACTAACTAACTAACTAACTAACTAACTAACTAACTAACTAACTAACTAACTAACTAACTAACTAACTAACTAACTAACTAACTAACTAACTAACTAACTAACTAACTAACTAACTAACTAACTAACTAACTAACTAACTAACTAACTACTAACTAACTAACTAACTAACTAACTAACTAACTAACTAACTAACTAACTAACTAACTAACTAACTAACTAACTAACTAACTAACTAACTAACTAACTAACTAACTAACTAACTAACTAACTAACTAACTAACTAACTAACTAACTAACTAACTAACTAACTAACTAACTAACTAACTAACTAACTAACTAACTAACTAACTAACTGACTGACTGACTGACTGACTGACTGACTAACTAAAGACCCGATGAAAAGAGTATGATTTTCAAAACAATTAAGCCCCATTAAATCCGCATCAGATCTCAAAATTTGTCCATTTTAAGATATCTTTGTATAGACTTTGAATAGATCCCAGGTTGCGCCATATCCGAGTAGTTATATCAGCTACCTTTAAATTAAATATGTTATATCATCTGAAAGTACCATCCATTGGCTTCAATAAAAATCTCTTTATCTCTGTTTTATCTTCTACCTTCCTTGAGATATCTTAATTTCTGGATTCTGACTGCATTAGTCGTCCTTCGTTTTTCTATTATTTATCTGTTTGCCGCCAAATTTTTAAAATCACTTTGACACTTATTTTTTAGAAACATATTTGCATAATTTTTTATAATAAATTAGGTAAATAGATAGATATTTGTACAGAAATATCCAACTTTTAATTAAACAAAAATTAATGTAAAAATTTACACAATAATTTTCTATACTCCTGTTAAAAACACATTTAAAACAAATTTTCAATTTAAACTTTAAGTGACCTTCAAAAATTTTGTTTAAAATTGTTTTTATCAATTAATTTTTATTTTCTTTTACATATTTTTCAATAGGTCGGCCAATGACCTATTGCACCGAGACACAAAAAAGAAGACGCATTTACATATATTTTACACAAACAGCAGCAAAACAATTTTAAAAGGAATTTTGTTTAAAATTTTTGATAAATTTATTCATTTTTAATATTTTTATAGATGGTTTAATAAATAAAAAAAACAACATTTTAACTTGTTTTGTTTTATAAATTTATGATCTTTTTTTATTGAAACAACACTTTACTATTTTTACGTTTTTCATTTAAATTCATTCATTTGTTTTGTTTTTCTTTTTGTTTTTGCTTGTTATTAGGTATTGGCTTTAGTAAAAGAGTAAGAGAGATAGCTGGTGTTTTAACATTTTTACAGGAATTCTCTTTAGTAAACAGTTTTTTTGTTATTATTTTTTTTTTTTGTTTTATTAAACAGAGAATGTTAGGAAGAGAGAATGAGACCAAAAATGATGCCAACGAATTGCACAAGAAAACAAAACTGAAGAAACAAACAACAAATAATTTGGAAAATTCTTGGATTTTTCAACAATTTGTTATTTTTTTCACATAAACTAATAAAAGTTGGCAGGAAAATAATACTAACAACAATAACAATATTTAGAATTTAACAAATAAAACAAAACAATTAGTAAACCCACACACACTCACGCACATGTAAAAAAGTAACGAATTATCTATGAGTAAGCAATACAGACGAGCCGTAAAACACCTTTTTTAGATAAAAAAGATAACAAAAACAACAAAAAATAAAACAAACAAAAAGAAAACCGAACTGTATATTTTATAAATTTGTTAAAGTACATGTGTACATAGAGAGAGAGAGAGAGAGCGAAACAAAGAGAGAGAGAAAAAATTGTGTAGTAATAATTAAAGCAGAAAAAGGGAAAAAAGAGGTGTATATGTAAAAGTTTTCCCGTTTTTTTTCTTCAAAAAACACATCTGCTGAATAAAATTTTGTAAAAAATTCACATAATTATTAAAAATTAAATACACAATTTAAGCACTTTTAACTTTTTATTGTTTAATTAATAAATAATTTGTTATTTTTAAGTTTTTCTTATAAAGAAATGTTAAAATGTTATAAAATTAACATTATTTGCTTTAAAATTTATTTAAACAAATTTTGTTTTATTTTATTCTAAACTTTATGGTAATAATTTTTTTACTACTTGATAGTAGCTAAAAACAATACATATTTTTTCATTCATTCATCATTACTTTTTTTTAGACGTTCTTCGTCTTCTTTTACAAAAACTTCACATCGATTTTACACACCTCTTTTTATTGTTGTTGTTTTATAATATTTTAATACTTTTGCTTCTATAATATTGCTTTTGAAATTTTATTTATTTTAATTATTTATAATTTTACACCATTTTATAAAGATTTTCATTTAATTTTTTTTCTTTTCCGTTTAATTGTTTTAATTGAATTTTTTTTCTTGTTTTGTTGTTGGTTTTTGTCAAAATTCCGAGAAATTTGTATTGTTTTAAAACGCGTAGATATGTGTTTACTTTAGTACACCAGCAAAGTATCTGATGGTTACTCAAACTACTATTATAAACTACCACTACTTTACTTAGTCGCTCTCAGTCGTTGGCTCGCTCTCTCTCTCATTCACTCACTCAGTAAAAGTTACACAAACAAACAAACATACAAATGTATAAATGTTGAGTTATTATCAAGCGAATATTTCGATTTTTGAGTGGACCGACACAGAATGATGAAAAAACAAAAACAATCACATTTACAAGTAGCTGCCAGATCTAAAGATTTTACATCATTTAGATGACACTGTCAAAATTAACCTTTTGATCGACAGTTTAGCAAAGAAAAGTTTCATGTAAAAAGTTTTCTATAAAAAAATACTTTTCTTATGAAATATTTTCCGTTTACGGCCGACAAATTTTTTACAGATACCAAAGTATTTCCATCACATCTGCGATTTGAGATATAGCGTCATGAAGTTTGAAAAAACTAAATTTTTGGCGCTTTTTAAGACTTAGTTTATAAAATGTTGTATGCTATCTGAAAGTCCATTCTGTCAACTTTAAAATAACATCTGACATATCTTATTACTTCTTCGAGATGTCTTCACCTAAAGCTATTATGAAATAAGTGTCCTTAGTGGGGAGTTTTTACAGAAAAGTTTCTTTAGCAGGCAGTTTTTTTTTCAAAATTTAGGTTATTTTGTAGACACTTTGTTAAAAATTTTCATTTTGACACACAGTTTTGCAAAGAAAAGTGTCTTTGTACAAAGTTTTCTATAGAAATTGCTTTTCTAAATAAAATATTTTCTATCTTTATATTTTTTTTATAGGAAAGTACCCTTAGTGGTCAGTTTTTATAGAAAAGTCTCTTTAGCAAGCAGTTCTTCAAAAAAAAAAAAAAGTTTTGCAAAGAAAACCGACTTTGTAGAAATTTTTTTCTAAAGAAAATATTTTCTGTCTTTGACTATTTTTTTAGGAAATTGTCCAAGCATTGAGCAGTTTTTAAAGAAAAGTGTCTTGAGCAGCAGCAGTTTTTTAAAGAAAGTTGCAGTTTTTATACCGAAAAATCTCTATAGTGCACGTTTTTAAAAGAAAACTAGATTTCGGGTAATTGATTCCTTTAGAACTACTTTAGAGTCACAGTTTCCATAAAAAAGTGTCTTTGAAAGAAAGTTTTTTACAATTTCTAAAGAAGATTTTCGCTTGAAGTCAGTTTTTTATAGCAAATTGTCAATGATAAACAATTTTGATAGAATTTTTTTTTGAAATTGGGGCTTTTGAAAAAAGTCTTTGTTAGAAAGTTCAGATCTGTCCTTGGAAAACTATTTTCTAAAGAAAAGTAGACATTGATTATAGAAGTGTTTTTATAGAAAAGTTTATTTATTAAACAGCTTTCTGTTGAAATATCTCATTATTAAATAATTTTGAAAAAATACAAATTTATTAGTCAGCAGTTTTTTTTACTAATAAGTTCCTTTAATAGGCAATTTTTAAAGAAAAGAGTATTCAGTAGTTATGTATCTATAGATTAAACTATAATTTAAAAAAAAATCTTAAAGGAGAGAGTTTTCTATAGAAAAATGTCATTATTATCAGTATTAAATAAAAGTACCATTTGTTAGCATTTGAAGAAGAGTATGTTTAGTAGTCAGTTTTCTATAAAATGTTCTTAATGAAAAGTGTCATTGGAAAGTAGTTTTCTTTAATAGGCAGTATTATATAGAATATTCATTTTAGTAGATACATTTATATAACAATTCCCTTTAATCAGTTTTTGAATATATATACATAAGTGTCTTTAGTAGATAGTTGTCTATAGAAACTTGTAATTTAATATATTGTTTTTAAAGAAAACATAGAACGCAGTGGTTCTATAGAAACATTTTAAAAGAGTATTCTAAAGAAAATAACGTCTTAAGTACACAGTTCTTAAAGAAAATAATCTTTTGCAAGTAGTTTTCTAAAGAAAAGTTTCTTTAATAGGTATTTTTCTATATAAAAAAGGATATTTTTAGTAGAAAATTATCTTTGAAATAGTATTTTCTATAAAAAAAATTTCGATAAAACTCTCTTGTATAGAAAAAGTCTTTCTTTTTATCAAAAATATTTATTTTACTACTATTATTTTGCTCCTAACTGTATCATTACTTAATTGATTACAATAAAAGTTCCATAAACAATACAATTTCAACATCCCAGTTATGTTAAACTCAAAAACATTATCTGGCAACTTTGTTGCAAAAAAAAAACAGACAATAAAATGCAAACACATACGGCATCATCATCATTTTCATCTAAGCACAGTCAAAAAAACAAACATAAAAACAGACACTAATAGCATTTATAACAGCAACAACAACAATAACTAAAAACAACGAAATTGTTTATTCACCGACAAACAACAAACAGATGGATGGATGGACTTCTGCCTGCCTTCTTTAAATCGTAGGTTGCTGTCTATAGTTGTTGTTATTATTATTGTTGTTAGTTCGGGTTCAGCTTAATTTTATTTTGTTGTTGGTTCGATGAGCAAGATTTTTTTTCATTGTTTGTTTTTGTTTTAATTCGTATTACTTTGAAAAGTATCTACTGCTAGTTAGTGCGAGTGTCATTCGTTTCTTTTTTGTTGGAATTGTGTGTGTGTGTGTGAATGTGTGTTTAGCACAATAATATCGATAATAAAAACCGTGATTATAACGATAATAATGAGTTTTTAAAATAAAACACAAAAAAGCAATGTGTTAATTTTTGATTAATTACAACTAAAAGGGGTCCACACAATAGACAAACATAAATACCGGAACTGATGGACCAAATTTATTTAAATCATGTAGGTAATTTAATACAAAAATAAATTATCTTTTAAATATTTTGTTTACTTCAATAAATGTTTTTTTTTTAAATATTTTTGCAAAACTTAATTGATAAATTATTTAAAAACGTATTTATTTATAAGATAGTTATAAGCAGAATGTTAACTTTAAAGACACTTCTTTAGAGAAAACAGTTTTCCAAAGAAATTTTTGTCGAAAATCGTCTTCCAACGACTCTTTTGTATAAAAAACTGCCTTGCAAAGATACTTTCCTTTAAGAAAACTGTTAACTAAAGACAGTTCTAAAAAAAGCTGTTTTCGAAAGACCCTTTTCTTTACAAAACTGTTTCCCTAAAACGCCTTTCAGAGAACTCCCTTCTAAAGGCAATTTTCTATAAAAAAACTTTCTAACAAAGATACTTTTCTATAGAAAACTATTTCTCAAATATACTTCTTTAGTAAACTGAAGAAAGAAATTTCTATATAAAAAAACTATCTTCCAAAGACGCTTCTTGACAATTCAGTATTCCAATGACACTTTTCTATTAAAAAACTGTCGCTATTCTATATAAAACACTGTTTCCCAATAACAGTCTTAAGGAAAACTAATTCGTAAAGATGCTTTTCCATAGAAAAGAGTTTTATAAAGTTTGCATTTTACAGAAAACTGTCTTCCAAAAAATCTTTTTTAAAGCAGTTTTTTAAAGGCAGTTTTTCTTCAAAAAAACTGTTTTCCAAATAGCATTGTCTTTCAAAGATAGTTCTAAAGGAAACTGTTTACTTTTCTGTAGAAAATCTATTTTATAAAGTCTCTTTTATTCAGAAAACTGTCCGCCAAAAACGATTTTTTTACAAAACTTTTTTCCAAAAACAAATTTCTAAACAAAATTATCTTCCTAAGGCTTTTATGTACATATTTCTAAAGGAAACAATTCACATTTCTGTGAATTCTTTCTTATAGAACACTTTCTACCAAAAACAATTTTAAAGAAAACGGTCTTTCAAAAACACGTTTCTATAGAAAAATGTCTTCCAAAAGCTGTTCTAAAGAAAACGATTTACCAAAAACACTTTTCCATAAGAAACTTCCTTTAAAAAGGTAATATTTTATATAAAACAGACTTCTAAAGAATTTTCTATTAAAAATTGTTTTCCAAAGTCTATTTTCTATAGAAAATGGTAAATCAAAGACACTTTTCTTACCTAAATTAACTTTCAATGACACTTATCTAGGGAAAACTATAAATTAAAGACAATTTCCTATAGAAAACTTTATGGCAAAAAGTCTTTTCTATAGAAAACTTAGTATTTGACAGAAATTGAAATTGAAAAATGTTTTTCAAAGTCAATTTTCTATAGAAAATTCTAAATCAAAGACACTTTTATTATCAAAACTAACTTTCTCTTTTCTATGGAAAGCTGCATTTGAATGACAAATTTCTATAGAAAACTCAGTAATAGACAGACATTTTAACAAAAAATGGTTTAGTTTGGTTTTGGCCAAAAATAGAAGTCAATTACTTATTGACAAATGTCAAATAAATTGTTATTAAATCATTCAGTAATTGAAATCATTCAGGAAATAAACTCCATCAATATTAAAAATTAACAATCTTTGCAAATAACTAAGTCAGTCAATAATATAACTATTTTAATACTTAATACTATTTATTTTAGTAGTAAAACAAGTAAGAAATTATAGTCGGCGACGCCGACCATATAATACCCTACACCTTAACCATTTTCAATAGGCTTCGTCCCTGGGACAATAGAAGATCATGTACCAAATTTCATTGAATTATCTTCAAAATTGCGACCTGTAGTTTGATTACAAGGTTTATATGGACGGACGGACGGACGGACATAGCTAAATCGACTCAGAAAATGATTCTGAGCCGATTGGTATACTTTAAGGTGGGTATAGGACCAATATTATTGTGCGTTACAAACATCAGCACAAACCCAATATACCCTCCCCACTAAAGTGGTGTAG